GCAATATCCATGTAAGCGGCAGTATCGTGACTTGCAGTACAGCTGTCATATCGGATCACATCACTTGACAAGACTTTTATCAGGCTTCCATTTATTGTTTGACCAATACTTAAAAAAATCACGCATAAGTATGTTGATGTTGATGCCGGACGAAGGCGGTTGGAAGACTGAATCACTGACGTATTTTTTAAATATTTGCTCAATCGCTAGGACACTAGAACAAACGTTTTTAGGACATAAAACCAGTTCGCGTAGAATTGTCGTCGTACAATACTTCTGAGTCTGGCTAACTCTCTTGCTCATCATGGCGGACATTACAAGAAGTTCATTCAACCTTGCTAGGGACGTTGAAATGGCAAATCGTGGCGAACCTTATCTTTCGGTAGGTAGCATGTTTATGATAGACATTTGCTTCTTAGTAACATCTTACACTTCTAATAACCACTTTACACAGGGTGAGAACGAGGGCTATCAGGCGGATGGCGACGAAAACGCACGAAATATACCGACACATGTACGTGAAGGGGACAAGATCGATGAAGATTTTGATCCTTGGGCGTTGCCTGAACTTCAGGACTTTGGACCAAAGTGGTCTGGTAGGTTGCGTGCAATTGTTTATGTTGCCACGTTATCCGTCCTTTTATTTAAGATGCAGGGTACAGAGTGCAAGGCTTTCGTGCGGCGAAACCTTACAAACCTTTTGTGCTTTATTGCAACAATACTCGGACCGAAATATTGAATAGCAGCAAGACTAAAGCGCTAGAGCTGAATGTAGAAACAAGTTTTATGCAAAATGTTTAAATGGCGAACGCTTCCTGATGGCAAAGCTATGAAGAAGTAAACAAGATACAATTAGCAAAAAATTTATTTTAACAAATTTGACCGATACATATCAGTCTGTTTGAGACAAACCTTCTTCGGGTGCTAAAGAATAATAAAAACCTTAGTTCCTGAAGAAGGTTTGTAGTCCAAAGCGAAATTTTGGGGAACATTTGTTTACTTCTTCGTTCATGCCGGCCCGGCTTTTGTATTGCATGGTAGAACCGATGAGAAAAGTAGAGAAAGTATGTCAAATTTTGATTACGATTTTGCAAATATCAACATGAAGCAAAATTACAGAAGCTTATGTGTTCGAAATTTTGAACGATCTTTCAATACTCCGCAAATTACCTCTTCTTCATGAACTGACCACGGTGGTAATGAGAAATTTACATAAGCAATATTACGCAATAGCAGTTTGCCGGTTTGATGTAGCCAATTACAAAGCAGTTTATTATTAATTACAAAAGCATACGTGTTTATTTGTTTAAACCTCCTCCATTTTCTAATTATTTCTCCATACTGTCAACTTTGTGAGTTAATCGTTTGTAAGAAACCTACTCGTAAGTGCGTAACATGCGTATTTACGATTTTCCAACTATTGCTGCAACATAATTAAAGACGCTTTGACAGCAAAAGTGACAAAACGTCAACGCCAAGTCACGCAAAAATGGCAACTTGATTGTTGGTCACAAAAGTATTTTTATTAGCATGGCATTGAAACAGGGCTGGGAGTATGGCGTACGATCCCCGCCAAAATTTATTGTTTGAATTTTAAATTCGTCATTTAAATTTCTACTTGAATTTTATAGCCGAATATAAAATTTTACACTCTTCCTTCAGATTTCGCATCATTGGAAAACGTTTTTACACTCGTATTTTATTTTTAAAACTCAAGTCTTTTATTTGACTTTGCTGGCCGTATATTTTCAACTCGCTTCATCAAATTACACTTGCCAAGTCATATTTCAAACTCGACCTTGAAAATTTTCAACGCGACTTCTGAATTTTCGTTCACGCTTCAGTGATCGTTGATGAAGACCATCTGTCGGGGGGTGGGTCGTGGTTGGCTCTTTAGTCCATCATGCTTTGCGCCTTTTGTACAAACATACAAATGATCAGATAAATCTGCTCTCTCGTGGATTAATTCTTTTATTTGACTTTGCTGGCCGTATATTTTCAACTCGCTTCATCAAATTACACTTGCCAAGTCATATTTCAAACTCGACCTTGAAAATTTTCAACGCGACTTCTGAATTTTCGTTCACGCGTCAGTGATCGTTGATGAAGACCATCTGTCGGGGGGTGGGTCGTGGTTGGCTCTTTAGTCCATCATGCTTTGCGCCTTTTGTACAAACATACAAATGATCAGATAAATCTGCTCTCTCGTGGATTAAAATTTGTCCCTACGCCTATGACAAACGAAACCACATTAAGAAAACAACTCTTTACAGACTTCAAAGATTTTGCTAGGAAAATGCGGCTCCAGTTTATATATCACGGCAAGGACAAAAACAGCCACCCCTTTTACGTTAAGTCAAACTGGGAACCACCAGTTCAGCAGTCTGGTTACCAAAGAGAGCTATCTAAAAGAAATTAAAATACAAATTGCACACACACCGATAACCAAAGCTATACCCAACCTACCGCTAAACGAGAGAAAAGTTATCACAGAGCTAAAAAATAACTCTGAAATAAACGACAAGAAAGCGGATAAAGGTGCTGCCACAGTCATAATGAACAAAAAAGGGGCAACTTTCCAAAAAGTAAAACAAATAGTCGAAGAACTAGATCAGGGAAGTTTTATTGACGAAATGACTGTTAAATGGTTATCACAGACACCTAACCCAAACAGAATACCTGTCTTCTACACTCTCACAAAGATTCATAAACCAACTCCTGTTGGCCGACCTATAGTGGCAGGTAAAGACGGACCCACCGAACGAATATCATCATTCGTTGATAGCTTACTTCAACCAATAGCTAAGTCACAAAAGTCCTATCTTAAGGACACAACTAACTTTGTTAACTTCATAGATAGGAGAAACCTCCCAGAGGACGCTTTCCTAGTCTCCTTAGACGTTGCTGGCCTGTACACAAATATCCCACAGGAAGAGGGAATAAACACAGTAGGCAAAGCATACCAGACTTTCTACGGGGAAAACACCCCTATCCCTACCCAATCCCTCAGAAGAATCCTTAAACTTATTCTTCAAGAGAACTCCTTTGAATTCAACGGCAAAAACTCAAAGATCTCCAAACACACGGAACCGCAATGGGTACAAAGATGGCAGCCGCCTTTGCCAACATCTTTATGTCGGTGGTAGAGACAAAAATACTGAACCTCGGCAAAACTAAACCTCTTGAGTGGAAAAGATACATTGACGATATTTCTCATTGTGGAGAACTGAGAGAAAGGAGATAGATGAATTCAATGCTCTTGCAAACAGGCATCACCCTTCAATTAAATTTACGGCAGAAATATCTGATAAAGAGATTTACTTTCTGGATACAACTGTTTACAAAGGCGAGAGATTTCACAACCAAGGAATCCTTGACATCCGCACACATTTTAAACCTACAGAGACTTTTAAATACACGCATTTCTCTTCCTGTAACCCTCACGGGGTCAGAAAAGGTCTCATAAAGGGCGAAGCCCTTAGACTTCTGAGAACTAACTCGTCAGCTAAATCCTTCTATGAGAACATCTACAACTTCAAAAAACGCCTTCGCGCTAGAGGTTACCCTCACAATCTAACAGGAATTATCACCTCTGAGGTTAAATTTACCGAACCGAAGTCAGCTTTACAAAAGAACAATGAAGTGCGGAAGAAAATTCTGCCTTTCGTTACCACGTACCACCCTGCTTTGACAAAACTTAAAAACATTTTAATGAGCAAATGGCACTTAATTCAAGATCAACTACTACTGAGAGAAATATACAACGTGCCTCCCATCATTTCATATAAAAGAGCAAAACCGCTGGGAGATATCCTCGTTAGAGCAAAACTATAAGGTCACGTATCACACTATCACGAGCTTATGAGTCGTGTTTGGCACGTCAACTCCTTCCACCTATCTCTGTACGCTCGATAAACATGTAATGGTGGATCCTATGCCAGCCAAGACAGAATCGAGTAAATCCACACAGTTTATAATAATACGATTTAAATACTCCAACCGAAGCAAAATTCCGCTATAATCACTGTCCTGATAGGAGTCTAAACGCTCCAAAGTTTCTTGTACAACAGCAAGTTCGAACGCTGCCGCCATGTTTGTACAAAAGGCGCAAAGCATGATGGACTAAAGAGCCACCCACGACCCATCCCCCAACAGATGGTCTTCATCAACGATCACTGAAGCGTGAACGAAAATTCAGAAGTCGTGTTAAAAGTTTGAAATATAACTCGGCAAGTGTAATTTGATGAAGCGAGTTGAAAATATACCGAGAGCAAGCTAAGGTCAAATAAAGGAGTTGAGTTTAAAAACTAAAAGACGAGCGTAAAAACGTTTTCCAATGATGCAAAATCTGAGGGAAGAGTGTAAAATTTTATATTCGGCTATAAAATTTAAGTAGAAATTTAAATGATAAATTTAAAATTTCAACAATAAATTTTGGCGGGGATCGTAGGCCATAGGGAAGTCTTGCACTTATTGACAGAGTCGTTATGTTCGCATGCCAACAGAACTCGACGCCAAAGGAAAGTTCTTTCGCGTCGCCTTGGCGTTTGCCAAGGTTGTGCTTCTCCTTGGTTGCCTCTACTTGTTCATCTGTTCACTGGATTTTCTAAGCAGTGCCTTCCGCCTGTTGGGAGGGAAAGCGGCAGGCGAGGCCTNACAGATGGTCTTCATCAACGATCACTGAAGCGTGAACGAAAATTCAGAAGTCGTGTTAAAAGTTTGAAATATAACTCGGCAAGTGTAATTTGATGAAGCGAGTTGAAAATATACCGAGAGCAAGCTAAGGTCAAATAAAGGAGTTGAGTTTAAAAACTAAAAGACGAGCGTAAAAACGTTTTCCAATGATGCAAAATCTGAGGGAAGAGTGTAAAATTTTATATTCGGCTATAAAATTTAAGTAGAAATTTAAATGATAAATTTAAAATTTCAACAATAAATTTTGGCGGGGATCGTAGGCCATAGGGAAGTCTTGCACTTATTGACAGAGTCGTTATGTTCGCATGCCAACAGAACTCGACGCCAAAGGAAGGTTCTTTCGCGTCGCCTTGGCGTTTGCCAAGGTTGTGCTTCTCCTTGGTTGCCTCTACTTGTTCATCTGTTCACTGGATTTTCTAAGCAGTGCCTTCCGCCTGTTGGGAGGGAAAGCGGCAGGCGAGGCCTTCGCCTCGAATGAAATTCTTAGCAACCCTGTGGCTGGTCTGATGATTGGCGTTCTGGCAACTGTACTTGTTCAAAGTTCTTCCACCACAACTTCCATCGTGGTCTCTATGGTGGCCTCTCGGAGTAAGTGTTGTATGAGTCTTGTATGGATAAGATGTAATTTATAAGGATGTTTTAAACCTGCAGTTACTACAAATAAACGATTTAATTTGGCGTCTAGAATTAGGCGGCCAAAAGCAAAAATCTGAATTGATTTGTGAACAATAATTTTTGGCTCAGAGGACGAATTCCTATATTTTGTCGCCCACAAAGGACGCAATACAACATTTAACAATTAGCTCATGCGTCAGCGTGCGTATGTCGAGATATTGAGCATGCGGGAAGTTTGGAGAGCACGAAAGAGGCATGCGCCGAGAGCAACTCTAGCCTCTTGAGTGCTCTCCAAACTTTGCAAGTGCTCAATATCTCGACATAAGCACAGATGAAGCATGAACTAATTGTCTTATCACATTATCAAAGTGATCAATGCAGCAGTAACTCAAATTTTTATTATTGTAGCGCTCGCACAAAGCAGCACGTGTCTATGTCTGCGTGACAATATTTTTTTACCTTCCAGTTATGTTTTTGTCTTGAAACTGACAGAAAGTTTACTCAAGTCAGTTAAGATAACATTAAAAAAAGATTGTAAAATCCATATTGAGGTGCCGGAAAACTATTAATTCACCGAAAAATTCTTTTTGAAAGAAATAACTTTGCAAAGAGTGATTTGCACACGCCATAGCCTGCACGTCTCGCGCAGATGACAACAACAACAACACTCAGCTCTTCCCCCTACTATCGGTTAACAAATTCAAAAGGTTTCTCCTAAATTTACGTTAGAAAACACATGGTTAACGCTTCATCGTGTACTGTTGAGTTATGGATGCACTTGAGAGACGTCTTTGGAGGATTGCTAAGCTTACAAGTCCGCAAAAGAACTCGAGGTATAGTTTATTGACGTCATCAGCGTACTCAATGGGAATATGACGCACACAAAAAAATGCTCATAGTGTTTAACTTTTGCACAAAACATAATCGTGGAAAATCATTTGGTGGGGGCTGTAAATTGTAGTTTGGGCTAACGAAAATGTCTCCAAATGTGCCAACCCTATCTGTCAATCCTTCATAGTGTACACACCCACCCGGCCTGAACCGGAGTGATTAGTTTAAGAAACGGACTTCAAGTCAGAAGTCTAACTTTCCCTTTATCCCAACCTTAGGTCACCCTGTTTGCCCATATTACTGAGAGCCTAAGCAACGACGACCACGGCGACAATCGCTTCCATTTGGACCCGCTCAATTTGACAAATGTAGGCGACTTTTCCTGGAGTCGAGTTTTTAACGAATTTTATCATGTTCAAAAAGGCAAAGGAAACTTTGTCGTCGTATGCTCACGTCCTCCATGGAACGTCGCACGAGGAGTTTTTACGACGTAGTCGTGCAGTGGATGTCAAAGAAATGTACTAAACAGCGTGATGCACGTGCAGAGCTGTTGTTTTGCTCATAAAACCAGTTGGTTTTTGACATTGTCGTTGCCGTGGTCATCCTCGTGGTTGCTTAAGTACCCTAAATTTTAAATATACGTATTGATAGACGACAATAAGAAAGAAAGTCAACTTGTTTCTGACTTGAAAAACTACCTTCAAAGTGTCAATATCGAACGTGCCATTGAACTTCACCAAGAGAGAATGATCTAAGAGAGCGAATCCCCCATACATGACCCTCTTTCCATGAAAATTATTTTCAATCTATTCTTGGTTCTGTGTCATACTGCGTGGTTATTTTAAGGACGCCACCTTATTGGTCGGTTTGAGTGGCGTCATGTAATTTTAAACTTGGCGGGTAATTCATTTCATTGCCGATCACGCACAGCAAGCGATATGACGTGCAAACTTGGTATTGCTTTCGTCGACGAGTCAAAAGATTTCTACGTGGAAAAATCTGGCCAGAGTAGCTGCCGAAGAGCAAAATGGTCCTGGCTCGTGGAAGTTCGCCGGAGAAAGCGGTTCCGACTCGCCGGAAATTACTAATTGAGGTCTTCGCTACATCAGTATAAAAACATTGTACAAAAAAGACAACTGTCTCTTCCGGTGACATCCAAGCACACCCGCGAGCTGTGATACCGTCGTTTAGATCCAACTGTGGACACGTAATGAGAAAATAGGTTCAAAGTGGCTTCAAACATGAATGTTTAGCCGCGAAACATTTGAATTTTGAGAGGGCGCTAGATAAATGTGGGCACACCGCTCACTATAAAGAATTGACCGAAACCGGAAACCGCGCATAAAAAGTCTCTGGCATCCAGGTTAGCGATTGTCTAACAGCTTGAAGCATCTGACCTGATTTGTGTTCGCAGGGCGAAATATTCATAGCAAGTATTAGAAGTTAAGAAGAAGTAATGCAGTTTGAAACTCTCAAGAATAATTCTTAAAAGTAAATGCACTGTTTCTGAAAGAAAAACATTCCTGGAAAAAGAGAAAAAATATCTTGCACATTTGCATAAACAATTAAAGCCAGGCACCTATTAAAGGTTTCGTTTTTCTCGCGTGATAACCATTGCCTTTGGCTTTCACGTTGTGTCAGAATTCAGCATTCGTTACTTTAAATGGCTACCAGCCGTTAGAAAATCTCAATCTCTAATCTCAAAGTGAAATTTTGGCTCCAATACTGCAATCCCTTTGTAGATGAAATTCATTCCTGAATTATGAGCGGAACGCGCTGATCGAAAACACGTCAACAACAGGAGCCGATTAGTGTCGGCTCCTGGCGCTAAGCACTCGGCCTGACGCCCCTATAGCTAGGAACTAAAGCCAATGCTAAGGAGAAAAAGCTATATTTGTATGGGCATTCAGCGGAACGCGCTGATCGAAAACACGTCAACAACAGGAGCCGATTAGTGTCGGCTCCTGGCGCTAATTACTATAATGCCTGTCAAACTTCAAATGTTTGGCGTCGAAACATGTCACGCTCACGTGAAAGTAGACCACGTGGGTCACGGAAACAACAGACAAAAATAACCTACGCAGCACGCGCGCGAACTTTAAATAGATTTTAAAAAATTATCATGGGGCACAGGGATTCGCTCTCTTAGCTCATTCTCTCTTGACTTCACCATGTTTTCACTTCATCCCGAACTGCAAAATTTTATATTGCTACGCAATATATTTCTATATTGCTACGCTTCGAATCTGTTAATAAATATGAAATGCAATGAAATCTGCAAAGCACTTAAGTGAGACATTCCAGAGATGACCCCGGCCAAAGTCTATAATTTGAATTGAACCACCAAATTCTTGCAGCTCAAAGCCCTCTCTAACCTGCCATCAAACGGTCCTTCTTCCCTTTCGCAAGTGCAGTCCTCTCATTACTTTGCCGTTGAGAATATTGTGGTTATATGAGGTTTGCCGTTTACAAAGATGACAAATAGCAGAAATGTAGTGGCTAAGGGATTTTTTACGTCAGTGCTTCCCCTCATGGACTCACACGGTTTCTCTGCGAGGTGCCTCCAAAAATTCAATTTCAAATTCAAATTCAAATTCAATTTCAAATTCAAACTAGAAAGACCCTTGAGGTCGTTTTCCATTTATTTTCCAACTGGATTATTTGGAGACGTTTTCTTAAATTAATGGTAAACAACTATAAAGTCACTTTTTCCCTTTCTGTTGCCATGTGCTTTCTTGCTCCTTACAACTCACCAGTATAAAAACCCTCCTTTTTTAGGAACTTTCAAAAGGCTGCCTTTTCCCTTAACCCTTTAAGCCCTAAGAGTGATCAGCATCACATTTCTCCTTGTAATATCAATGCTTCGTAAAACAGAGTGGTCGTGAGAATTACAGACATGATCACACAAGATAAACTTGCTTGATATTTTATCACCTTCTCCTCACTACTTCTGTAAGAAATGAATAGGGCAACAAATGAGAATTCAAATTTTGATCTTAGGGTTTAAAGGGTTAATAAGTTGTCCTTGTTACCGTTGTTTAGTAAGTAGAGAGAAGTAATAAAATTGGTTTTTGACAGAAGTATCAAACAAATCATCGAGGGATTTTAAGATTTTGTAAACCTGGGTGGTGGTGTGACAATCGGTAAATGCGGTTTTTTGTTGACGCCCCTATAAAGATAAAGGTAAAGGCGCACACTAGCCAAAGGCCCAAAACGGCCGGAGCTTTTTCCGGTTTCATTAGCATGAAGCACCTAGAAGTGTTGCTACTCCCCCGGACGAGATGCTAGTCCATCGCAGGGTTACCCCCCAACAGTTTGTCGCTGGTACCCATTTATACACCTGGGCCCAGTTGTTCGAACGCCGATTAGCGTTTAACCCGGGGTTAAATTTAACCCTTGTTTCTTTTTCTTGTGTTCAAAAGCATTTTCTCGGATAATTTTCTCTGTTGTTTTTGGAGCTTCCAATCATCAACTTGTAGACAAAAAGGACTAAAACTGAAATGCTTTTTAAGCTTTCAAATCTGAATTCAAATCTCGCACTAACCCTGGGTTATCTTAACCCAGCTTTGAAAAACTCGGCCCTGGGTGAAGAGAGAGAAAGTGGAGTAAAGTTTCTCCACTAAGGAAACAACGCGACGGGCGAGGCTTAAACCCCGGACTTCCGGATCCGGAGTTCGAGGTGATAAACACTCGGCCTGACGCCCCTATAGCTAGGAACTAAAGCCAATGCTAAGGATAAAAAGCTATATTTGTATGGGCATTTAAATGAAACAAACGCTGTTAAACTTGTTTATGAATGGTTAGAGGTGGACGAATAACTTTTTCTTTTCAGTTCTAGATGTTGAACCTGCCATTCCAATAGTGATGGGTGCCAATATTGGAACGTCAGTCACCAACACCATTGTTTCCTTAGCTCAAGCTGCCGAGCGAAACGAATTCCGTCGTGCCTTTGCTGGAGCCACAGTTCACGATATCTTCAACTGGTTGTCTGTGCTTGTGTTCTTGCCTCTAGAAGTAGCCACCCGTTACTTAGCTCGGTTGACTGACAAGATAATTGAAGGTCTCCACCTGAAAAGAGAGAAGGGTGTCAACCAGAAGTTGCTGAAAACAATAACAGAACCATTTACCAAGCTCATTATTCAACTGGATAAAAAAATCATAAAGCAAATTGCTCTTGGAGACGAATCTGTTCGATCAAAATCTCTAATCAAGAGTTGCCAGCCCGAAAATGGCATTGAGACGGTCAATAAGACTGTGGTCAATGCTACCACTGGTATTAAAAGTTATGTACTTGAGAACAAGTCGTCGGAAACGGAAGTCACTTGCAAGTTTCTTTTCGCAGACACTTCACTGAACGATACGGAAGTTGGTATCATAATCTTGGTAATATCTATCTTCCTTCTCTGTGTCTGTCTTGTTGCAATTGTCAAAATCCTTCATTCCATGCTTCGCGGTCAGATGGCCAAAATCATCAAGAAGACCGTAAACGCAGACTTCCCAGGACCATTCAAGCATCTCACTGGTTACTTTGCTATCTTGGTTGGTGCTGGATTAACAATGTTGGTTCAGTCTAGTTCCATCTTCACCTCTGCCCTTACACCTCTCATCGGAGTTGGAGTGGTGACCATCGAACGCGCCTTTCCACTCACCTTGGGTTCAAACATTGGAACAACCGGAACTGGCATTTTGGCAGCCTTGGCAAGTTCCTCAAACTTGGACAAAGCTCTCCAGATTGCCCTTTGCCATCTGTTCTTCAATATCTCTGGTATCATTTTGTGGTATCCAATCCCTTACCTGCGAAAAGTCCCTATCAATGTTGCAAAGACCCTGGGCAACAAGACTGCGACGTACCGTTGGTTTGCCATAGCATACCTGGTGTTTGCTTTCTTCCTTCTTCCTGCAGCAGTCTTTGGCTTGTCGCTGGCTGGTTGGAAAATCCTCCTTGCTGTCGCACTCCCGATTATTCTCCTCTTAGTGTTTATCATTGTTGTCAACATACTTCAGAGTAAACGCCCACAGAGCTTGCCCCAGGTCCTTCGTGATTGGAAATGGCTTCCAAAATGGATACGGTCATTGGAGCCTTATGATAGAGTATTTACGAAGATGGGTGAGATAAAGAAACTGTGCTGCTGTCGCAGAAATGGAAAGGACTAAAGTAAGGAAGAGATGCGAAGTGAACCTTTTTTTTAGTTCGAATAGCTTTTGACGATAATTGAGCGATTTCTCGCGCGGAAATTTGTAGCCTAAGAAAACAGCTGATATTTCCCCGCGACGCCAGCACTGGTTTCCCGCCAAATGGCGTCTGAGGAACGATTGCAGACATTCCATACTGATGACCTTTTTTACTAACCAGATCTGGGTAGTGCTTCTGATTGGCCGTGCTGCGTAGGACATTTGATTCAACCAATCAGAAGTATTAGCCAGATCTGAGTTGTGACACGGCATCAGTATAGAATTTCTTCGCTCGTTTCTTAGACGTTATTTCCGGGGAAACCAGCGGTGGCGTCGCGGGGAAATTTCGGCTGTTTTCTCGACAGCTGTAATCTGCGAGAGTATAGACCGTGGAAATGACGTTATTATAGTGCAATATGTTGTTCTTTTTTTCTCGCTCGCTATTTCACAGGCGACCCAAGCTCGGAGCATAAATTACCCCGTGTTTCGATTCTGTTTTGCATATTAGGAACGATTTATAGACTTTGCATGAAAAATGTAATATAGTTCTTAAAATGTAGATCTATAGGCTTAATAGGCTCGTTGTTTGTTCGTTGTTGTTTTCCTACATAATTATAAACAAGGCAGCTAGGTTACTGTGTGCAGTCTCAACTCACAAATATCTCTTGCATCAAAGAACCGCGCACCGATTCGCGATGAAAGCGCACCATTATCTCTTTCCCTTGTCACGGGTATTACGATGTTTTTTTGGTGGGGAAATGTTTTGAACGTTTTCGGTTCTGGGCAATCTGACGTGCGCTCAGGAAACTCTGTGACCTTGTGTTGCGTGGTGAACGCAAACCTTTTTTATACGCTCATCCATTGGATAATTCTAAACACCGCTTTCGCGCAATCGGTAGAGCTATCCGAGGGTAGGAAGATCCATGCAGAGTTATGCCAATAATGATTATCCGGATCCCATGAGTTCATGTTGGCATTCACCTCGCAACGCGTAGTCATCAAGGTTCCTGAGCGCGCAGGGGAGACTTGTAAGTTGAGACTGCACACAGTAACCTGCCTTGCTTCGCATTATATAGGAAAAGCAAGTCCGAACAAACAACGAGCCGCAAAACCGTATAAAATGGCCATGAATCGAGCCCAAGTTATACAGAAAAAGTAACAACAAACCCAAGTTTACGTAAATGAAATTTAATTCTATATTTTTTACTATATTTCTGCGTTTTAAGAACTATTTTAAACTTTTCATACAAAGTCTATGAATCGTTCTAAAATGCAAAACAGTATCAAAACAAGCGGTAATTCAAGTAACGAACTTGGGCTGCTTGTGGCTATTTCGGAGAAAATTCACCAAAAACTGACGCTATAAACTGTCGGTGTTTATTGTTCACAACCAAATAGACAAATCTTTGGATCTAAACCAGTCGGCGAGTTAGAAAATTTGGATGCCGTGGTCTTTTTAACAAATAGATTCTATGTTGCCGTGCATCTGTTCAGTGGTAGGTACATAATAGGTTACGGATTACGTCAATAAGTGGTAAGAACAAAATGGTGACACATTAGCGTCTTTGGTGATCTCTTAGTGAAGAGATGCACGGCATAGAATACATAGAATCTATTCGTTTTATCTGACAATGTGCGGAAAAGAAATAACGACCAACTTGCCTCGTACCGCTTTACTGCTAGAGAATTTGGCCAGTTTAGGCATTTTCCAAAGGGGGCTCACAAACACAAAGTTTTCCTCTTTAACTTGTCGACATTTTCGGCCAAACGGTTTTTCAATCGCGCAACACACGATCGCGATTGTTCTATAATTTTTTTTGCCAGTAAAGGCATTTTCAAGTCGTCAAGAAACTCTTGTTGTCTCGTTTTCTCCATTTTTCTGACTTGTATACAGTAGCCGCTCACTTAACGGGACTTGGGGGCCATCGCTTACTTAATCGGGACATAATTTCGCAGACAATTTCAAAGCTGTGCACAGTGGTGGACAAAACAAAACAATAAGCAAACAAACAAACAAATTTCCTGTGACGTCATCCCTGTGTCTGATGGGCAACGACTAATCATAGCGCGCGTAGCATTCAGTACATTGTATAAAAGAGTATAAATTGTGGATAGAGGTTGTTTATTTGTTAAATATACATGAATATGGTAGGCAATATGATATTCAATTCAATAGTTGTACTGCTAGCTTGCGTCACAATCATTTGGATAAAGCTGAAATAAAATATAAACGCTAGGGAGCCGTTCTCAAAAAATGTATCATTCTCAGACTGAATAAATATTTTGAAAAATAAATAGTTTGAAAAATCGACTCCAACATTCAATGAACTAATACGCAGTAAAGACAGGATAGAGGCTGAGGTACAAGAGGATTCAAATTCGAGATTGTAGTGCTGCCCTCTTGGTTACAAGTTATCCACAGATTGAAAATAATGGTTGGGCTGCCTGTGGCACATCCCAACTATATTACGAGCTTTCTCCGCCAAAAAAATACAAAATTGCGGATAGATCACCCAGAAGGCAATGCTGGAACGGGACAATGAAAAATGGGAACAAGACATAGAGTGGGTAATGGCGTCGATAACGATAGGGCAAGGATTCAGGTCGCGGGGGGGCTTTCCGTTACTTCCGTACCACCCTGACACGGATGTCAGCAGAGCCTTTCTTTTGGCGTACTGGAGAATCGAGTAAGATCTTTGTTGAGCATGCGTGGCCAGGAGCTGATTACAAGTAATCAGCTCCAGGCGTAGCATGTTGCTATGGTATAGTTTCGAACCCAGGCCTAATACTCGTATGATTGCTTTAGCGGGCTCGGTTATGACCCATCAAGTTATCAATTATCAGATGCTCGCACCCGAAAAAAATCAGTTTAACGAGAGAAGACAATATTGACTAGCCTAGAAATTCGGGCTGCGGCGAATTCAAAGGCTTAACGCGATTAAGACAGAGCTCTTTTCTCTTTCTTACTCAAGACGGCAATAGGAGGTTCTGGCGTGGGTGCTTCCGCATTGAAAACCACTTTAAAGGGGGCTGCGTTTAGCTATTTGCTATCTTCATGATCTTTTTAAAAAGTACTTAAAAAGCTGAAACGTGTATTCGCATAGTCTCCTTCGCAGCCGTTATTAGGGTCGTCACTCGTCACGCAACGCTCCTCCCCACTAACGGCCGTTAGTGGGGAGGAGCGTTGCGTGACGAGTGACGACCCTAATAACGGCTTGCCATCTGTTCTTCAATATCTCTGGTATCATTTTGTGGTATCCAATCCCTTACCTGCGAAAAGTCCCTATCAATGTTGCAAAGACCCTGGGCAACAAGACTGCGACGTACCGTTGGTTTGCCATAGCATACCTGGTGTTTGCTTTCTTCCTTCTTCCTGCAGCAGTCTTTGGCTTGTCGCTGGCTGGTTGGAAAATCCTCCTTGCTGTCGCACTCCCGATTATTCTCCTCTTAGTGTTTATCATTGTTGTCAACATACTTCAGAGTAAACGCCCACAGAGCTTGCCCCAGGTCCTTCGTGATTGGAAATGGCTTCCAAAATGGATACGGTCATTGGAGCCTTATGATAGAGTATTTACGAAGATGGGTGAGATAAAGAAACTGTGCTGCTGTCGCAGAAATGGAAAGGACTAAAGTAAGGAAGAGATGCGAAGTGAACCTTTTTTTTAGTTCGAATAGCTTTTGACGATAATTGAGCGATTTCCCGCGCGGAAATTTGTAGCCTGAGAAAACAGCTGATATTTCCCCGCGACGCCAGCACTAGTTTCCCGCCAAATGGCGTCTGAGGAACGATTGCAGACATTCCATACTGATGACCTTTCACCAACCAGATCTGGGTAGTGCTTCTGATTGGCCGTGCTGCGTAGGACATTTGATTCAACCAATCAGAAGTATTAGCCAGATCTGAGTTGCGACACGGCATCAGTATAGAATTTCTTCGCTCGTTTCTTAGACGTTATTTCGAGGGGAAACCATCGGTGGCGTCGCGGGGAAATTTCGGCTGTTTTCTCGACAGCTATAATCTGCGAGAGTATAGACCGTGGAAATGACGTTATTATAGTGCAATATGTTATTCTTTTTCTCTCGCTCGCTATTTCACAGGCGACCCAAGCTCGGAGCATAAATTACCCCGTGTTTCGATTCTGTTTTGCATATTAGGAACGATTTACAGACTTTGCATGAAAAATGTAATATAGTTCTTAAAATGTAGATCTATAGGCATAATAGGCTCGTTGTTTGTTCGTTGTTGTTTTCCTACGTAATTATAAACAAGGCAGCTAGGTTACTGTGTGCAGTCTCAACTCACAAATATCTCTTGCATCAAAGAACCGCGCACCGATTCGCGATGAAAGCGCACCATTATCTCTTTCCCTTGTCACGGGTATTACGATGTTTTTTTTTGTGGGGAAATGTTTTGAACGTTTTCGGTTCTGGGCAATCTGACGTGCGCTGAGGAAACTCTGTGACCTTGTGTTGCGTGGTGAACGCAAAGCTTTTTTATACGCTCATCCAATTGGATAATTCTAAACACCGCTTTCGCGCAATCGGTAGAGCTATCCGAGGGTAGGAAGATCCATGCAGAGTTTTGCCAATAATGATTATCCGGATCCCCTGAGTTCATGTTGGCATTCACCTCGCAACGCGTAGTCATTGAGGTTCCTGAGCGCGCAGGGGAGACTTGTAAGTTGAGACTGCACACAGTAACCTGCCTTCCTTCGCATTATGTAGGAAAAGCAAGTCCGAACAAACAACGAGCCGCAAAACCGTATAAAATGGCCATGAATTGAGCCCAAGTTGTACAGAAAAAGTAACAACAAACCCAAGTTTAAGTAAATGAAATTTAATTCTACATTTTTTACTATATTTCTACGTTTTAAGAACTATATTAAACTTTTCATACAAAGTCTATGAATCGTTCTAAAATGCAAAACAGTATCAAAACAAGCGGTAATTCAAGCAAGGAACTTGGGCTGCTTGTGGCTATT